TTTAAAAAAGTCAAGGAAAATACGAGTAAATAAGGACAAAAGGGAAAAAATTATCAACGTCTCCGTAAAGACTTGTGTTCAAACACGACACCATTTTTTGATGTGGATAACATATATTTCGTGCCCCATCACGTTTTGAAGCAAAATCGTATACGTTTAAAGAAGTCAAGGAAAATACGAGTAAATATGGACAAAAGGGAAATAATAATCAACGTCTCCGAAAAGACTTATTTTCGAACACGAAACCATTATTTGATGTGGATAACAAATATTTCGTGCCCCCATCGCGTTTTAAGCAAAATCGTATACATTTAAAGAAGTCAAGGAAAATACGAGTAAATATAGACAAAAGGGAAAAAATAATCAACGCCTCCGGAAAGACTTGTGTTTGAACACGACACCATTATTTGATGTGGATAACATATATTTCGTGGCTCATCGCGTTTTGAAGAAAAATCGTATACATTTAAAGAAGTCAAGGAAAATACGAGTAAATAGGGACAAAAGGGAAAAAATAATCAACGTCTCCGGAAAGACTTGTTCTCGAACACGACACCATTATTTGATGTGGATAACATATATTTCGTGCCCCATCACATCTATTAATATATAAAGAGGGGAGACATTTATTTGAAAAAAGATTCAAAAAAATCAACAAAGAAAAAACATTTCAATTTCCCGCCTAAATAAATATTATAATAAGGAATTTTTTTGGCAAAAAATTGAATCTGCCCGCCATTCACCATTTCAAACGTTTTGGATATTTTAGTTATTGATTTCAGCCTTATCTATTTATACAATTTGATTTTACAAGATTTGGTCAAATTGTTTTGTCAAATAATTAAAGGATACTCAATCTTATCTTAACATAATTACTAACAAACTCTTTGTTATCTTATATAGAAAAAATCACGTTTTTCCCATTTTTCTTTTCTTTCCGTCGGCTCCTCGACAACCAAGTCGATTCATTTTCTTCCCAGCAGATCCTCGACAACCAAGCAATCCGCATGAGGCTCCTCAGTTTTTTGACGGCGGCTTCCGACAGGCGAGGAGAAAACATTGAAATTTTCGGCGTGAGGATGCAATTTGGCCAACCAATGGTCGATGTAGATTGGAAGCCAAAGCGACCAAAACATAGGCCAG